GTGTCTGGTACTTTGATTGGCATTGCATTAAATAGATAGATTAATTTGGGTAGAATTGCCATTTTGGTTATATTAATTCTTCCAATCCAGGAACATGGGATGTCCTTCCACTTTTTTGTGTCATTTTCAACATCTTTTTTTAGCTTCTCATAGTTTTCCTTGTGGAGGTCTTTAATTTCTTTGGTTAGATTTATCCCTAAGTATCTTATACTTTTGGTAGCTATGGTAAATGGAACTCTTATTTCTGTGTGTTCTGGCGTGTGCTGGTCTGATGTTGGTAAATTCTTTCAGGTTTTGTTTATCTGAAAATGTCCTTGTCTTTTCTTCCCATATGAAGGATAATCTTGCCGGGTACAGTATTCTTGGTTGATGTTGTTTTTCCCTTAACACTTTGAATATATTTTCCCATTCTTTCCTTGCTTGCATTGTTTCCAATGAGAGGTCCACTGTTAGCCTGATGGGATATCCTTCGCAGGTAAATTGACGTTTCTCTCTCGCCAATTTCAGTAGCTTGTCTGTCTGTGGCTTTGATCAATCTGGCTATAGTTTGTCTTGGAGAAGATTTTCTTGGGTTGGTTCTATTTGGGATCCTTTGTTGGGTCTGGATCTTTGAATGCCTCTCTAGGTTTGGAAAGTTTTCTTGTAGGATTTCATGAACTAGATTATCAATGCCCTTATAAGTCTCTTCACCATCTGGGATACCAATTATCTGGATGTTTGGACACTTGATGGTATCTAGTATTTCTCATATATCATTCTCAGTTTTTTGGACAATTTTCTCAGTCTTCATGGTGGATTTTTCTAGGCCAGTGATTCTGTCTTCTACATCTGAGATTCAATTTCCTGTATGATCTAGTCTGTTTTTAATACTTTCAAGGGAGGTTTTGACTTCCTGTCTTATGGCCTTCATCTCTAACAGTTCCATCTGATTATTTTTATGGTGTGTATTTCCTCTTTCAGATCTTGCAAGAACTTCCTCGCATCAATTCATCAGCTCCTTTCTCCTGCATCTTCTGCAGTTCATTGTCTCTCTTCTCTTCCATCTCTGTTAGCTTTGTCACAATGAATATTCTAAATTCTTTATCTGACATTTCTATGAGTTCCATTGTACTGTCTGAAGATGAAGAGAAGTTATTCTTTTCCCTTGGAGGAGAGATATTTTCGTGCTTTCTCATATTTCCTGTGACCCTGTGGTGATTTCTGGTCATCTAATGGATTGTGTGTTTCTTTCTAAATCTTGAAGTTCAATGTGAGCATTCAGGGGTATGCAGGATGAGGTTATCTGCAATCTCTCTTCAATTCCATTCTTCACTCTTT